GGCATGGTGGCTCAATCCTGTAATCCCAGCACTTTGGGAGGCCGAGGTAGGCAGATCAAGAGGTCAGCAGATCCAGACCATCTTGGCCAACATGGTGAAACCCCTTCCCTACTAAAAAGACAAAACAATTACCTGGCTGTGGTGGTGTGTGCCTGTAGTCCCAGTTACTCAGAAGGCTGAGCCAGGAGAACCACTTAAACCCAGCAGGTGAAGGTTGCAGTGAGCTGAGATCACAAGATTATGTCTGAAAAAATAAAACAAAATAAAATAAACCAGCTTTACTGAGGTATCATTCACATACAATCTACCCATTTATTTATTTTTATTTTATTTTTTGAAATAAAGCTTTACTCTTGTCACCCAGGCTGGAGTGCACTGGTGTGATCTCAGCTCACTGCAGCCTTGGCCTCCGAGGTTCAAGCGATTTTCCTGCCTTGGCCTCCCAGGTTCAAGTGATTTTCCTGTCTCAGCCTCCCATGTAGCTGGAATTACAGGTGCCCACCATCCCACCTGGCTAAATATTGTATTCTTAGCAGAAACAGGGTTTCATCATGTTGGCCAGTGCTGGGATTACAGATGTCAGCCACTGTGCCCCACCCAATTTACTTATTTACTTTACACTTTAGTGTACAACCATAACCACAACCATCCTGACTACACAGGGGTAGGAGGAGACTGCAGAGAAGCAGGGCTTGGCAGCAAAAGTGAGGCACAGGCCAGGGGACTGGCTCCCAAAGACTCACCCATGAAGTTACACTTACTGGTGGCATCCATGCTGTTGAGAGTGATGGTTCCAATGTTGAGTTCTGGATGGTGGGAAGAGGCAGGGCTGGGCTGGAGCACAGGGAGTGGCCTCCTCTCCCCCAAACAAGCTGCCCAGCGCACTCCTCCTGGAAAGAGGATGGGGGCAGGCAGAATGGGAGCTGGGGCAAGGCATCTTTTGCACAGTCCTAGGAGGGAGGCAGAGCCCTGAGTCTCTCAGTACCAGGCACCCATGCCACGGAAGACCTCAGTGCCCATGGGCAATAAATGAAGGTTTCACCAGGAGACATAGGCCCCTGCCTTCTGGTCTCAGGTGTGGCTTCATGTCCTCGTGGGTGCTGAGGGTGATTCCCCCTAGGGAGGAGGGGAAGGGCGTCTCACCTGCTCAAAGCAGCTCTCGATCCACAACCAAGGGGATTGCCCAAAATTGCCCCACTGCAGGGACAGGGATTCGTGGTGACCAGAGCTCCTCACAGGCAGACCACCCCTCCCCCCCACACCCCCCCCAACAGAACGAAGTTCTGGTTGCCAGGGCAACCACCTGGAGCTCAGCCTCTTCCCTGGCCCCATCAAATTGGGTGCACACTTATCCTCAAGTGTCCCCAGAACACTTATCTGCAAGCATTGAGTCGCCTTGGGTGCAGGACCCTGGTCTCCTGACAAAAGTCCCCATATGTCATGCTGAGGGCAGCAGGCTGGGCTGGCCAGGAGCCTCACTGGAGAGCTCTGGCCCTGCTCAGAAACATTCATTGGCTTGGACATCCCCATCTTAGTGAAAGCCGAGGTGCTATGCGAAGTCCCCCTCTGAGCAGATAACCTGACTTTCTATCCCATTCTGCCCTTCCCAGCTCATCTGTCAATCCCTAAGGCTACGTAGCAGCTACACCCATCAAGCCCTCTGAGCACTGGAGCCTCACCCACCTCCACAGGAGCAGGACGCCGATCCACTTCCACACCTCCAGCAGCCTCTCAGAGTCTTGGGTCAATGCCATGGTGTGGCTGTGGAAAGCCAGGGGCAGGAAGGTCAGAGCAGCCAGGGTCTTCCCCTCCAGCATGGCCCCTGCTCCTCACTCAACTCACCTCAGAATCCAGTGGCTCCAGTGGAGGGGCTTGGCCCTCTGCAGGTGGCTGTACCCTGGGAAGAGGACATCATGTTCCCTGTGGGAGAGCAGGTGCAAGGGCTCGGGTGGAGGCTGGAGCAAGGTCTGCTGGTGACACTGGAACCCTGCAGGGCTGGGTCACCCCTGAAAGAAGTGTTGTCTTGCAGCACTGCACCTGAATGAGGGATCCAGGATCTCCCAGGGAAAAAGTGCTCTTAAGGGAAAAAGAGGCCAGAAGTGTGGCCGTGTGAACCACGCACTGGGCCTGAGCTGTGGTGCTCCTTGGGTGAGGCTTTGCCAGGAACACCGAAAGCCTGAGCCTCTGTCACTCAGAATCTCTGAGTGGGAGCCAGAAAAGGGGAGGCGGCCAGTGTGGAGTATGACTTGGCCATGACTTGGAGGTTTTGTTTGAGGACCCAAGAAATAGCTGGGGCTCATAAAGAGCCGCTCCAAGCAGGTGGGACACCCTACCCTTCATTCAAGTCACCATTTTTTTGTATTTTTAGTAAAGGCAGTGTTTCACCATGTTGGCCAGGCTTGTCTTGAACTCCCGGCCTCAAGTGATCCATCTGCCTCTGCCTCCCAAAGTGCTGGAATTATACACATGAGCCACTTCACCCGGCCTTTTTTTGTTTTCAATAAACCAGCTTTGCTGAGGTATCATTCATATATAATTTACCCATTTAAAGCTTGCACTTTAGTGTACAGCCATCACCAGTTTAAGAACATTTTCACCATCCCCTAAATAAATTCTATACTCAAGGCCAGGTATGGCGGCTCAAGCCTGTAATGCCAGCTCTTTGGATGGCCAAGAGGGAAGGATCACTTGAGGCTAGGAGTTCAACCAGACTAAGCCACATAGTAAGAACCCACTTCCACAAAATATTTTAAAAATTCACAGGGTGTGGTGCACACCTGTGGTCCTATCTACTCAGAAAGCTGAGGTGGGAGGATCATTTGAGTCCAGGAGTTTCAGGCTGCAGTGAGCTATGATTGAGCCACTACTCTCCAGCCTAGGTGACAAAGCAAGAAATCGTCTCTGAAGACAACCTAAAAAATTAAAAATGTGGCTGGGTGCTGTGGCTCACACCTGTAATCTCAGCACTTTGGGAGGCCAACATGGGGCAGACCACAAGATCAGGAGATTGAGAACATCTTGGAAAACAGGGTGAAATCCTGGTCTCTACTAAAAAATACAAAAATTAGTCAGGCGTGGCATGAACCTGTAGCCCCAGCTAGTTTGGAGGCTGAGGCAGGAGAACCACTTGAATCCAGGAAGCAGAGGTTGCAGTGAGCCGAGTGCCACTGCACTTCAGCCTGGGTGACAAGAGCAAAACTCTGTCTCAAAAAAAAGTTAAAAATTTAAAATTTAGGCCAGGTGCAGTGGCTTATGCCTGTAATCCCTGCACTTTGACAGGCCAAGGTGGGCAGATCACCTCAGCTCAGGAGTTCGAGAGACCAGCCTGGCCAACATGGCAAAACCCATCTCTACTGAAAAAACATATAAAAATTAGCTGCATGTGGTGGCATTCACCTGTAATCTCAGCTACTTGGGAGGCTGAGGCACGAAAATCACTTGAACCCAGATGGTGGAGCTTGCAGGTAGGAGAGATCGCACCACTGTACTTTAGACTAGGCAACAGAGCGAGACCCTGTCTCACACACACACACACACACACACACACAAATTAAAGAAACTCTGAACTCAGTAGCAGACACTCCCTGTTCCTCCTAGCAGCCCCACCCTACCTCCAGGGTGACAATTTGTGTGCCCTTGTTTCCCCCCAGGTCTGAGAAACAGGGGTCACAGGGATTTGGGGAAGAGGAGGGGTCTCTAACAACACATGGTGACTCCTCAGCAGCTCCCCCTCCAGGTCTGCAAGGAACAAATCCAAACGCAAAGACACCAGGTCCCAGAAGCCAAAGCCTGGGATGAGGCCAGCAGGAGGCAGCCTTTGGCTCTGTCTTTTGCCAGATGGGCTGGGTGGGGACACGGAATATGGGATGGGAGACCGGGGCACAGGCAGGGTGGGGAGAGACTCTGGCTGCTCCAGGCACAGCCAAGATAGTGCCTTAGCTTCCTTCCCTCAAATCCACAAAGGGTGAATTTTCTTTTTACTTTTTATTTTTTGAGACAGAGTCTCAATCTGTCTCTTAGCCTGAAGTGCAGTGATGCAATGTCAGCTCACTGCAACCTCCGCCTTTCGGGTTCAAGTGATTCTGCGGCCTCAGCCTCCCACGTAGCTGTGATTACAGGTGCACACCACCATGTCCAGCTAATTTTTGTATTTTTAGTAGTGACAGGGTTTCACCATGTTGGCCAGGCTGGTCTTGAACTCCTGAGCTCTGGTGATCCTCCTGCCTCTGCTTCCCAAAGTGCTGGGATTACACAGGCACCACACCAGGCCCCACGATGGGTGAGTCTTCCCTGACTGCTGGGCTAGACTGGCATGGATTCGAGTATTGTGGCCTGCAGGAAATGCCCCACTCCTGGCTGCTCTGCCTCAATCCTAGAGTTCTAGGTTGCCCCTGTCCCCCAGGGCCTGGCACCCCCGCCCTGTTCAGCCCTGCCACCTAAATCTGCTGTTTAGGCTGCCATCACACCTGTCTCTGCCCTGTGGCTGTCCCTGGGGAACTCATACCTCTGTCCATTCCACTATGGTCCTGATGAGCTCCCAGAGGAGACCCAAGAGCATGGAGCAGGTCTGCAGCATCCACAGCCTGAGGTCCGTAACCACCTGTGTGAGGAGGTGGTGGTGCTCAGGGAGGCCGACTTCTTGCTTCCCTGGGGAGGCAGGACCCTGCTGAGCTCTAACTGCCCCCTGGGCTCCCCAAGGTTGGGACAGTGCAGAGCAGGGGGCTGGAAGAACTAGAGGCACCTGATCATTCTGGCTGTGTCCCATGTGAAGTTTCCCTGCAGTTTTGCCAATAAGCTGAGCTCCTGGAGGTGAAGGGAGGCACAGGGTCACAGTCTATATGCCCACAGGGGTCAACCCTTTGGGCATATAGACTGTGCCAACATCAGCCCTGCTAACCTCCCTCCCTACCCCAGGGCTCTGGGTCCTGCTAAAATCTCTCACCATTTCTGCTGAGGCCTTTTTTTAAAAAAACATTTTTTTTGTAGTTATAGAATCTCACTGTATTGCCCAAGCTGGTCTCGAACTCTTGGCCTCAAGTGAACCTCCCACCTCAGCCTCCCAAAGTGCTAAGATTATAGGCATTGAGCCACTGCTTCTGGCCCATGTCCTGAGGTCTCCGCTGCTGTCTGCCAATGGCGAAGTAAACAAAACGATGGTGCTAATGCTCAAAGTGGCCCAGGGCCAGGTGGAGAAGGGAGTTCAGGAAACTGATGGGGCTGCAGGGGTCTTACCTTCAGGTGGTGCTCACTGGCTGTCCTCATCATTGGGGTTGAGTCTGAAGGTGCCCTGGGCCCACAGCTTAGTCACCTATAGCGGGGTGGCAGCAACACGGGGGGTCAGGTGAACAGGTATCAGCAGCCAGGAGGGCCCCTGCCCTGGTCCCACCCTATCCCTCACGGCTGACTGTCACTGTCCAGTAGCTGAGTCCTGGAAGCCCACCCTGGGAGGGGGCATCTTGGGCCCAGCACGCCTTCACCCATGAGCCAGGGGGGCCACAGCATCATTAAAGGATGGAGAGAGGCGGTCATCAAAGCACACAGTTAAGCAGGATTAGGATACATCATTAGTTCAATGTGAAACCACAGACAGGCAACACTGCTATTTGCTCAGCCTGGGGGCACATGAAGGGGCCTCAGGTGGGGCTTGGGCCACGGGAGTACTTCATAAGCTGCCTGTTCCTTGAGCACAATGTGTACCAAGGGGAGCTGGAGTGAGGGCAGCACCATGGGGAAGGGACAGGCTTGCCACCTGAGCTGTGTGACCTCAGACCAGACCCCTCTTCTCCAAGTGAGGCCAGCCAAACAGGTGATTTTGGGAGCCAGTGCCTGACAGTCTGGATTTTAGCTTCATGGGTGGATGGGAACCTGTGAGAGTTTAGAGATGCTGGGAGAACCTTTTCCTGGGAGAGCTTTCCAAACAGAACCACCCTGGGCCCCACTGAGAAAGGATCCTACCGGAAGCCTTCACCACTGTCTTTCTCCATGCCGGTGGTGATGGTGTCATGGAGTGGTAGGTGGTGGGTGTCGTGTACAGAAGCACAGACCGCTGCAGTCCTGCCAAGTTGAAGAAGCCAAAGTCTGTGTTCTGGACAAAGTAACACTTGGGATATCTAGGGTGGGAGAATTGTGGTTTGCTGGGTCCTTGCCCTGGGTCCTTTGACCTCAGCTGGAATGTCTCCACAGCTTCGCCAGATCCAGGGCCTCCAATCTTCAAAGGTCACCCTATCCCTAGCAGGAAGACCATCGGGTGGAGCGGGAAGGTGGGTACAGGCAGTGGAGGCAGGATGGTATCCACTTGGAGGTGCCAGTCATGTAGCGGATGGTCCCTGGTGGCAGGCAGGGGGAAGGGGGTGAGTGTCTTGTTGATGGTGATAGTGATATGGAGGTGGGACGGCAGGGTCCCCACCTACCAGACTGCTGATGTTGGCCTTGAAGGGGAGGTAGCCCTCCTCATGCTTTAGCACATTGACCCCGTTCTCTCACTGCAGACACAGGAGATATGGGGAGGAGGTGGCAGGTCAGGGCATGAGGAGGGGCCCTGCTATGGGGCACTCCCTCACATAACCTGCAGCATGGGGCTCAGAGGCCTGCCAGTCATATGGGAAGAATGGCATCCCAATGGGGTAGATCAGGCCACCTATCCCTCAACACAGGGCACAGCCCCCAGGGCAGGGCAGGACAGGGCCCCCACTGTCCCACCCCAGGAGACAAGCTGTGGCTGGCAACTGGAGGTCCCATGTTGTTCAGCAACAATGCCCACCCACCTGCCCTACCTGCTCCTGGCCGCAGTGACCATGATGGCATAGGAGTGGGCACTGCCAATCCTCAGCACCCCTCTTGTGCAGAGATCCTGGGTCCACCGCTCCAGCAGGGTCACCTCCAGTTCACACCACACCCAGCTGACAGAATGCCACAGCCACCAGTCCTAGCCGATGTTGTTGAAGCTGGAGGGAACCAGCATGTCCAGGGTGGGGCCCATCTGCACAGAGAAGAGCCTCGCTCAGCTTCTAGGCCCCCAAAGGGATCCAAAACCAGCGTGCTTCTCAGTTGTGCCCCCAGGCCTAGCACAAGCCCTGACACATAGCGGGACCCTTGGTGGAACAGACAGATAATTTGCAGGTGACAGGTCAACTGCCAGCGCAGTTTGTGCACCTGGGCCAGTGGGGCCAGGAATTCCTCCTCGGAGTGGATGGGGCCCAGTATCTCCCAAGACAGGGGTGAGCCCAGGGCCACATCCCAGCCCCAGGTAAGAAGGTTCAGATCCATGACTAAGAGGCAGATGACCCACTGCCTGGCAGGGAGGAAGGCTGGTTGAGGGATGGGGAGGCTTTGCTTAGCACACTGTGAGTGGGGCTCATGCTGGTACCCAGCCCTCTTCTTTCTTCCTCCTATACTGAATGCCACAAAGTCAGAGAAAGAGGATGCAGAGAAGGCAAAAGCTGCCCAGGCATCAGCCCCACATCTCTTCTGACCACATCCAAGTCAGGAGGGGAACGGGGTGTCGTCCTTGACCTGATATCACGTCCTGTCCTCTATCTGAACCCTGGAAACCAAGATACTCTCCTGCCTCAGCAGAGCTGACCTCAGGATATCTAAACTGTCTCCTCCGGGGAGGTGGAGTTGCAGTCAGTGGAGATCATGCCATTGCACTCTAGCCTCGGTGACAGAGCAAGACTGTCTCAAAAAAAAAAAAAAAATCATGATACTATCCATACCTGCTAACATTTACTATGCCACGGGCTCTCTAACAAATGCTTTGTTTATAGTTAATTCTTTTAACAAACCCAGTGCTCTGGTTCCTGCCTGCTTTTCCCACTTTA